TCTGGTAAACTGTGGTCAATGTCATGAGACAAAGTGTATGTGAACTGCTGTATGGAAAGTGAATTTGCTCTGTAAATTTTCACCCAAATCACAATTTAAAAAAAAAAAAAAGCAAGGATGGTGAGGCTTTGTCTTACTTATACTTTGGGCATGTTGTCTGGAGAAGGACATCATGCTTGGTAAAGTGGAGGGTCAGTGCAAAAGAGGAAGACGTTCAACAAGATGGATTGATACAGTGTCTGGAACAATAAGCTCAAGCACAGCAACCATTGTGAGGATGGCAGAGGATTGGGCAGTGTTTTGTTCTGTTATACACAGGGTCACTACAAGTTAGAACTGACTGACAGTAGCCAACACAACAATAACAATACGAACCTTTACATCTCTATGGGTGGTACAAATGGCTAAGCATGTGACTGCTAACCAAAAGGTTGTTTGTTCAAACCCACCCAAAAGTGCCTTGAAGAAATACAAGCAATCTGCTTCTGAAAGGTCATAGTCATGAAAACTATGGAAGACACATGGGGTTGCCATGAATTGGGATCAACTCAACAGCAGGTGATTACTGGCACAATGAACTTTGGTGGTTTTAGAATCAGATTATCAGTTAATATTCGTGTATTTTAGTTTATATAGGGATAGATGTATATCATGTAAGGGGCTCTGGTGGCATAAAAGGTAAGACATTTTGGCTGCTAACCAGAAGGTTGGTGGTTCAAACCTACCAGCTAGCTACTCCACAGGAGGAAGATGAGACAATCTACTTCCACAAAGATTTACAGCCTTGGAAACCCAATGGGGGCCATTATGAGTCAGAATAGATTCAAAGGCAGTAGGTTTTTCAGTTTGGTATATAATCTACCACTGAACCACATTGCCCCATGAAGTTTTGTGATGGTGGTGGTGGTGTGTGCCATCGAGACAATTCTGATTCATAGTGGCCCTGTGGGACGGAGTACAAGTGTTCCATAGAGTTTTCTAGTGTGATATTTATGGGAGCTGATTGCCAGGTCTTTTCTCCCACAGAGATACTGAGTGGGTTTGAACCACCAACCTTTAGGTTAGTAGCCGAGTGCTTAACCATCATGCCACCAGGCTCCTTACATATAGTTGTTGTTGTTGCTGTTGTGTTTTCCATCGAGTCAGATCTGACTCATAGCGACCCCTCCTTGGGTTTCTGAGGCAGTATCACTATGGAAGTAGATCGTCCAGCCTTCCTTCTGAGGAGTGGCTGGTGATTTGAACCGCCAGCATTCTGGTTAGCAGCCAAGTGCCTTAGGCACTATGCCACCAGAGCTCCCTATATATAGATGGACATAGTTAATAAATTTAAAGTGAGTGAGAGATAATCAAGTATATATGGCCTGTTGGAAGTCCAAGAATGAAAGTCAGACTGTAGATATAAATTTGTAAGGCATCTACAAAGGTGATTGATGTCTTGGACTTGGATGAGATTTCCCAGGTAAGGAACACCAAAGACAACAAAGAGATGAGGAACAAGCCAGGACAGAGCCCTGCTCTCTTACCCTGGCCTGAAATCGGTGGTGTCATCGTAGTAGAAAGATTATTTTGATGTTTTTCATAACACTCTGGATGGTCGTAGTTAAGGACACCAGCTACCCAGTCAAAGAAAGGATAGGCTGGGATACAGTTACAGTGGTAACTTCCAAGTGTGTTTCTGCAGTATGCCCTCTGCTTGCAATTTGCCAGGCCAGATGCACACTCATCAATATCTGCAAATCAAGAGAAAACACTGTCTTTCATTCTCATGAAACTCTACCTTTTTCTCTTACCCATGGGATATGTCCTGCCCAATATTATTCACGAATTCACCCAAAACAACATCTCTTGTTCCTGGACAGGATGACTTGACATTATAAAGATGACAATTTCCCTAAGTTAATATAAATTCAATACAATCCCAATCCAAATACCCCCAAGTTATTTTATGGAGAGATGAGTTGGTACTATCATGCAAGACTAGCCAGAAAACTGTTTATGAACAGGGAGACAGCTCAGAGGGGAGGAGTACATGGAGGGATGGGCACAGGGAAGAGGTAACTATCTGGAGGAAGTGGGAGGGGAGCTGTTGCATTGTGGGAAATTGTAGTCAATGTCATGAGACAAAGTGTATGTGAATTGCTGTATGGAAAGTGAATTTGCTCTGTGAACTTTCATCCAAAGCACACACACACACACAAAGAGTATCCAGAAAAACTATGGGGGGGCTACAGGGGGCACTAGCTTTACAAGATATTAAAATGCTATAGGAAGCCCTGGTGACACAATGGTTAAGCACTAGACTGCTAACTTTTGGTAGTTCAAACCCAGCAGCAGCTTTGTGAGAGAAAAGATGTGGCAATCTGCTCCCATAAAGTTAACAGCCTAGAAAACCCTAAAGTGTGTATTTTGTCACCTGTCACATAGGGTCACTATGAGTAGAAATTGACTTGAGAGCACCTAACAAGAACAACAAACATAGGATATACCAGCTACCATTGAGTTGATTCCGACTCATGGGAACCCCATATGTATCAAAATAGAAATGTGCTACATAGGATATTCAGTGGCTGATTTTTTCAAAGTAGATCACCGGGCCTTCTTTCCAGTGTGTCTCTGGGTGGACGTGAACCACCAACCTCTTAGTTAGCGGCTAAGTACATTAACCATTTGTACCCCCCGGGGGCTCTACACGTACTATAAATCCTCAATCAAAGACTCTGATACCAGTGTATGAATGGGCAAATGTATTAGTGGAATAGACTGAAAGTCCAGAAGTGGACCCAAATGCCTAAGGAGCTTTAGCATATGACAAAGGTGGTACATCAAGTCACTAGGGTTAAGGATGGACTTCTTAAAAATATAAAATGAGATCCATACCTCACATAATTCATAAAAATTCACTCTAAATGTAAAAATAAAACCATACAATCACTAGAACTAAACGTGGGTGAATTCGTCTTTAGAAGACCTTGGGTGGTATGAATGATTAACGCACTCGACTGCTAACTGAAAGGCTGGGGTTCAGATTCACCCAGAGGTACCTCAGAAGTGAGGCCTGGTGATCTACTTCTGAAAACTCACTCATTGAAAACTCTCTCAAAACTCTAGGGAGGGAAATTTCTAGATAAGATGGAAACAACAACTACACACACACACACACACACATATGGGAGCTCTGGTAGCATAGTGTCTAAGGCACTTGACTGCTACCCAGAAGGCTGGTGGTTCAA